TNTATAGCAATATTTACGTCAGTTTTTGGNGGCGAAATACAGAATTGAATCAATCCAATTTTGGCCTTTTCAATGCGTTTNGGACCATTGACATTGCAAGATTTTTCTGTAAATATTAATCCATCCACTAACTCAGTATCTTCAACAGTACCTCCCAACTTCTTTATCACTTTGATGTCCTGCAAAGGTAATATATATGATAATAATTAATATTTTCATATCATAATAAAAAAAGATACATGTACAGAAAATTTGTCCTCACTTTTAAGTCAACCGATGCTTCTTTTCCTTCTTCTGCAACCTTTAATACAGCATCCACCGCAATTGGTGCAAGAAGACTAGATTGTTGATGTACCACCTAAAAAAACAATAACAATAATAAGCATTTATCAAACATGTAATAATAAACTGTTTTTATACAGAGAGAAACTTCAAGGAAAAACAAATATCACATATACCTTAGAATTCAGAGATGTTGCTGCAACTTTTGTCAAAGATTCTTTGTCCGTTAGATCAACAGATATGGACATATCCGTCAAAATTGACACTGCTTTAGATGCTGCTTTCTGAAAAGCATCACCGATAGAAGTGGGATGAATACCCTTTTGTAATAAACGATTTGCTGCCTCTAAGAGTGAACCACATATTACAACAACACTTGTAGTACCATCACCAGCTTCTATATCCTGAGCTTTAGATAATTCAACCAGCTAAAACACAAAATATTTTATTACAATGTACAAAATTTTATAAAATTTTAAAGCAATTTAATTTGTCTTTACCATCTTTGCAGCAGGATGCACTACATTCATCTCTTTTAGAATTGTAGCTCCATCATTTGTGATAGTAACTTCCCCATTACTAGCTTGAATCTGTTACAAACATATACACTAATTAACATTATTATATAACTCCTTTAATACATATTTATTGCTGAATATAAAATATACCATTTTGTCCATTCCTCTGGGACCTAAACTTGTACGGATAGCATCATTAACAGCTGTAAGAAAATAATAATAACTATTAATAAATACTATACAACAATCGTATAAGGATTGTCTAATGCTTCTACAGATGATATTCATAGTCACTTCTCTAAATGATCCAATTGTGAGTGCCGGCCTATAAATCAATTTTATTGAAAGAAAACTTGACAAAAAAACATTTTTTTATAGGTTAGGTAGATATATATATATTATAGATAGATTTATTGGTTAACATACTTTTGATTACAATATTACAATAAAATTTGTGACAGAATACAATTGACATGCACGTAAAGAAGATAATCGACATTGTAGGCATTGCCATATAAGGTTAGGTTCGCGTTCTCTAATGTCCGACAATCGAACGAAACGTGAAAATTCTATAAAGTCGCGAATGGATTGATTACCTTTTGCAGCGCAGATATTGCTGCTGCGAATGTCTGCAGGTTTGCTCTTGTCCTTGAAGGCCTGAAATCCACGATCATTGCCTCTTTCCCCAATTTTCTTCATTAGAGTTTTTGTCATATTTGGTTATCACGTGTAAGATTCCAAGTTTGACTCACTCAGGCTCACAGAGAAATGACGTTTTGCTGCTTCCAGTGCCAACAAGCGCCGTACGAACTAATTAATAGCAGCAGAGAAAAGCCTGAGAGCGACCAGATCCATAAGAGAATGATTAATCACTTTTCCGCCCCGTAAACTAGCGCATGTCCACGGGTGGTAGACATTGGAACTACGCAGCCAGTCCACGAACGACATGTCGGTACGCTATGTCCATAGCGTGCGGTTCTATTCCGTGCTATGTGCACGAGTTTAAATGGTCACTTTCTTTAAGTGTGCGAGTATATTCGAGAGCGTGAATTTGATTTATTTCAAGAATTAAAATAGCCGATTTGTGAACTCAGGAAGGAAAACAGGAAGAAATGGAAAATATACAAATTTGCAACTTCCCACACAACATACACGTAATTGTCAACAAAGGAATATTTTTAAGCGAGCAGCATCAGAATTCGTAGAGTGTACTCAGGTACCATCTCCTTTATCATCATTTGCTGCTATTTGCT